ACGTAATTAGGAATTCTATTCAAGTAATTTTGCATGCGTAATTAAGATATTTGATGAAAACACTAGTGACTTTCATCAAGTATCCAAATGGCATCTTGTGATCAAATAGGTGATTATCATTGGCTGAATTACTCATGAATTATTAATGAATTTGAGAAAGTTAGAGAAAGGTCTCTAGTATAACGAGATGAAGTTTCTTTACTGAAATCATCAGAGATTGCTTACTCAGATAAACACAATCTTTAAACAGTATATACTGTAGGCATGAATTTTTACTCAATGATATCTTTTTTACAACATTGTAGCGCTTAGAGTAAGGCAGTTCTTTAATCCATATGTTATAAAATCTGGATAAAGTTTTGACGTATATGTCAAATATTGTACATAATATATACAAGCATGTCTAGATCACAACAGCTGTAGCCAAGTATCTTTTTTCCTTCATGTCAGGAAGTTCCTGCCATGAAAATCGCTCAAAATTGAAACCTTCAACTGATTTCAAATCATTCCGTCTCTCATCCCTTCCTCCTAGTACTACAATTGTATTCTCAATAACAACTGTCATACATCCTCTCCTCTTGTGTAACATGGGAGGCAACATATGACTGTTTCCAGTCTTCATGTTGTAAATTATAACATTATTTAATGGTTCACCATACTTGTCAGCCCCACCAATGATCACGACATTCTCAGCCCACTTGACTGTCGCCATGTCACTCACTGGATAGGGAAGCGCAGGTAACTGTTGACATTCATTCTTCTTGATGTCATAGCTTAACACACTGCTGAGGTTGTCTTTGCAGTCCCATGATTTCTTTCCCCCAACAATCAAAATACTATCATCACATAGTACTATGGTGTGACGAAATCTTGGTCCAGGCATCTTGGATACCAGTTTAACAGTGTAAGGTTGTTTAAGTTGAACTTCGTGAATACAGTCAGAGAAGTCACCTTGATCATTAATACCACCAGTAACCAACAAGCTATCCTTGTACACCACACTGCTGTGTGCAAACATCTTCGCAGGGAGTTTAGCAGCAAAATCACTCCAGTTAATTGAGAGATCAGGGACTGGGTGAATCTTTATTCGGATCATGTTATCTACAGCACCAGGACACCAACCTCCCGCTACAGTCACGTGATTATTGTAAACAAATAAAGATGCTTCGTCACGATTCCCTGGCATGGGCTTTAATAAAGACCACAATCTCTGACGGTAGTTAAATATTTCTACTGACTTTCTCGCCCCACCACCAGCAACAAATATATGTTGATTTTCTCTCCCGCCACTCGCTGTGCCACTTAAATCTCTTGTGATTTCCTCCTGCTTTCTTTCTTTGCTCTCTATCTTATCAAGTACTGCTTCTTTCAAATGATCAAAGCCATCTTTTACTTCGTTTAAACTCATTTTCATTCCTCTCACTTCATTATTCATCGCTTCGAACTTTGCTTCCACGTTCGCTTGCAAGTTCTCTATTTTCGTGTTCATGTTTTCCTGTTTCGTGTCGATGTTTGTTATTCTCGTGTCCATGTTTTTCAGTTTCGTGTCCGTGTGTGCCATTTTCGTGTGGAGGTTTGCTATTTTCGTTTCCATGCCCGCCATCATCGTGCTGATTTCTCCACAGTTGTGACACTTCAACTTTCTAAATTGACACAGTTCACTCTCGTGATATGTACGATCTCTTTTACTGATTGTCTCACCACAACCTTGATTTCCACAAATGACTGGAGTAAACCCGCATTCGGCGACATGTCGCTTTAAATTCTGCAACTGTACGAGTTCTCGACATCCTCTGTCGTAATGATCGCAACGAATTTTTCGTTCATCCAAGTAATTCTTCACAATTCTTGGGACTTCCGCCAATGTTTCGACACTCAACTCGTCAGCGCATGTTGGGCATGTATGAGAATTCGTACGAAGATGTTCCGTGATGCAGCCGTGGCAGAAGTAGTGCTGGTTTCTGCGGCACATCACGGGGTCTTTCAATACGTTATAGCAAATCAAACAGTGGAAATTTTGGTCCACTATCGACTCGAATCTCTCGTCATCATATCCAAGTTGATAATTTGATGCCATATTTACTCGCTATTCTCCTAAAGTGAAAATAAAGCAAATTCTACTTAATTCTACCGATACTTTACCGTATAAAACTCGTCCAAATAGACAGTTTTGTACCTTTATTTTACTCCTTGAAAATATTTAGTGAACATTCTCTTTAAACGTTGAAGTAAATGAGCAGTATTAAACGACAGTCAGGCAGAGATTCAAGCGTATGTATGATCAAAATTCTGCTACGTGTTGAAAGCGTCTACAATAACAACTTGTTTTGCAACAAACGAAACGTATTTGCATTTTTGAACAAATAATTCGACATGATGTCCAGTCGTGGTTGATTTCAATTGGTTGTTTGATCTATTGTTAAGGAATTTCTTTGTTTCAAGATATTTTTATTTCAAAATAATTTATTCAGCAGCGTTACTTAAAATGCAAATGTTGCAAATCATAAATATATAATGATCAAAAACGTAACGAGATTGATTACACGACAGTGAGTTCGACCATAGTTAATAGAATATATGGTTTGAAAACTCATTAGAATAACAATATAACTCATTATCTATGTTAGTCAACGTTTATTCATAAATCTGGTCCTTCACCGTCACGTGTGTATTGTATTTTTACCAAATCCACCAATAGCAATTTCCAGTTTCCCTATTGTTCGAGTCACGGGTAGGAGTTTCCAAAAACATTCCTATTGGTTAGTTGGGCAAAAATACAATACGCACGTGACGGTGAAGGGCCAGATTTATGAATAAACGTTGACTAACATAGATAATGATTATATTGTTATTCTAATGAGTTTCCAAACCATCTATTCTATTAACTATGGTTCGACTGTGACCTGTTATATCAACACTGCATAATATAATAGAGTTATACCCAAGCAGCCGACTATGACCGTATTGACCGATTATACCATGCATAATCTCTATACAGTTATATGCAAGTGGTCAGTTTAGAAACACGCGCGAGTCAAACTCCATACAGTTATATCAACGCAGTCAGTTGTATGGAGCTTTACCAGCTTTACTCGCTCGTGTTTCTCCACTGACCGCTTGGATATAACTGTATAGAGATTTATATGTATGGGAATGACTGTTCAATTTCAAATATATTGATACTTATACCAGCAGAAAGTTAGTACGGCAGTGGTAGTTTCCTTACTCAAATAAATCAGTTCAATCTTAAACAGTATCAACATACCAGATAATATTTACTTTCGTTTTAAAGTAAAGCAAGTTATATTCTTATTTCAGCCAGTTTGTGGTAAAAACCTCGTCGTATCAACAGCCATATATATATATATATATATATATATATATATATATATATATATATATATATATATATATATATATATATATATATATATATATATATATTTCAGTTGAAATTTTTAACTGAAAGAATCGTTTTAAACAATAGACTTATATCACTCCCTTGTAAAGTCGTTTTATTGCTGGGGCAACCTACGATATTCGGTCATCTGAGTTACTCAATAATCTAAATTGGAAACCTCTAGAAGAAAGACGAAATTATCTTAAATCTATTTTCATCTATAAAGTTCTGAATGGCCACACCGCACCCAATCTTAAAGAAGTATTTCATTTTAATAATGAAAGACATAATAGTTACAATCTTAGAAATTCGGATACTGATTTAGCACCACCTATGCCGAAAAAAGAATTCGGCAAGAGGTGCTTCAGTTATAATGGTACCTTGCATTGGAATAATCTTCCCCATGAGGCAAAAATTGCTGAATCCCTAAACTCTTTCAAGTCGATATTGAAACAAAGAATGAGTTGAAATTTGCTTGCGTATAATCGTGCAGCTAAAATCAATTGTATTTATTTATTTTGTTATATTTTGTATTTCATGTATATAGTTAACTTTTTGTAAATAGGTAATTTCACGCCCCTCATGGAAACCAGCCTTCCAACGGCTGTTGAGGCTAGCGTGGTCTAAATAAAGTTTTGTATGTATGTATTGCCACGTATGTAGAGTGTCTTGGGGTTGACTACCTCACGGGCGTTCTTTGAGGGTGACGTCAATACAATTGGAAAGCGGTTTTCCACAATAAGCTCGTAATCTCTTCGTAACATGTTCGTATAAATTAATTATTTATTGTTTTTAAAATTACCTTTAAAACGCGACGCGATTTTTCTATTTTCACTGACCGATAAGTTCGATCATAGTTTGAATTTTCCGAATTTTTAGAAGCGCTATAACATTTTGAGTTATTTGGTCTACATGTCTTCCAAAATTTGCTCTCATTATTATAAATTAACTTTCAAAAACTAAAATAACAATGAATAATTAATTTATACGAACATGTTACGAAGATTTTACGAAGATATTACGAGTTTATAGTGGAAAACCGCTTTCCAATTGTATTGACGTCACCCTCAAAGAACGCCCGTGAGGTAGTCAACCCCGCGTGCTTTGTGCAGACAAGAATTTGATCTGAAATGAAATATTCAGTCAAAGTCTTGTGACAGAAGGGCACGACCTTTGGTTTGTACAGGGGTTTCTGATTGGATATATCTAAAAAGAACCATTATTAGTAGAAATGTCAAAATAAGGTTGACTCAATCCGCTCGATTGAAATTCAGCCTGACCATTGAGCCTCCATTAAGCCTGACCATGGTTAATAGTAACCGTGGCCTGACAGGCTATATTCATGCCAGCCGAATTAGCTACCGGCTTGGACAAAAGCAGTGAATGTGAAAGCGGGATGAGTGTGAAATGGCATGAGAATACAAATTTCGAGACATTTTGAGCGCTTTAAAATCAGAATTAGACATAAGCAGAATAACATATTATTGGCTTGATAGTAAAACTGCATCAGGTTGGATGCAGAACTGAGGAGAGTGAAAACAAGTCGTACGACATAGAGTAAATGAAATTTTACAGTAAGAGGACCTCTATCTTTCTTGACCTCGACACTTGAGGTTGTGTTAAAAAGGCGACATTTACCACATTTTAGGTAACCTAGTTCTTACCATATGCCCCAATCCTCACCCCTAGCCCAACTTAAACCAATTCGTACCCGGGGTATTTTCTCTCACACCCTTGTTATCACAGCCGCCTGCTGACCTGACCACCGGGGAGCCTGACTATGTCTTATTTACTTCATGTATGTTAGTAAATATCAGTTCAATGCAATACAAACACGTCCCATACATAATCTCCGTACAGTATCAAATCAGTCAGTGTAGAAGCACGAGTGGTGTGCATACAGTTGTACCAAAGCGATCAGTGCAGCAAACACGCGATGCGAAAAGTAAAACGCGAGGGAGGAGCGAGGAAACACTCGCGTGTTTTTTTTACCGTATCGCCTGATGTATGGGGAATTATATATTGATACAAAACGTCATAATCGGACTCCCTGTGACGAATCCTCATCGTATAAACAGCCACATATAGATATATGTATAAACATGCAGTTGTTGTAGATTTTTATTTATCTGAGATTCGTAACTGAAAGACTCGTTTTGAAGAACAGGCGTATATCACTTCCTCGTAAGTCGTTGCATTGCCGCGTTTGTGAAGTGTCTTGTACAGACAAAGAATTTTCTTTGAAATGAAATATTCCAAGTCTGTGACAAAGGGCATGCATGCATGACCTCCGCTTATTTCAGAGTTTCTGACTGGATACGTAAAAGAACCATTCGTGGTGAAAAATCGATACTGCTTTGTCAACGTAAGGTTGACTCAAGCGGATTCCATTATTGCATGTTTTGCGAAGCGAGCTGACGCCCTACCGAGTCAAATTATAAAAAAACAACTTTATTTTGGTAGGGTAAGCCTTTCCGCGTAAGACCGCGTTACAAGTAATGCTGTTATCAACCTGCCTTAATTTGCTATTGATGGCGACCAGAATGATGTTTAAGCTAATAAATCACCAAAATATATTTATACTGCGTAGCTCTATATAATAAGTTAATTTCTTGAATGTTTGCATGGCGAAAAACAATATTATTGTTTTGGTTTGTGGAAGCACCACGTATATTTATTATTGCAGAGCTTTCGACCAGTAACCACGGATCTTCACCAGTGCATGCCAATAATATATGACTGACTTATTTAATGCACACGTCCTTTGATAACATTGCTGTGTATAATTACTAAACTGACTGATCTAGCTAGACAGTAGAAGGTGAAGTAAGTGTCACCATTTAATGCTGCTTTGAGAAAACGTGAGGTGTTTGGTAAAATGAAACTGGAAGCACTCTTTCAACATGCGAGTGAGGCTTACTAAAATTATAATAATTACAGAACAGAACCACTCTCTTCCGCTGACGCTTAAGTCCAGATCAATTTTGTTAATCTAGAGCTTGAAATCTCCCCTGTAACAACCCAACTCTTATCAACTCTCATCCTCATTTGACCATAATTTGACCGGGCATTAGTAGTGACTCGCGGGCTTTACGAAGCGGAGGCGCAGGCAGGCAGGCAGGCAGGCAGGCAGGCAGGCAGGTTAGAAGCAATCAAGTCATTGAACTAAAAATAACGAAGTTATTTTTAGTTCAATGGATCAAGTGTGCGAGTATAGCCCGCGACTAGCCCGCCTGCGAGTTATTTAAAGGCCTGTTTACACTTGCAATTTTCGCTGCGATTTCTAGTGCGATCTTCTTCTGATGGATGCGAACGAGTAGATGAGTTACGAATGTTTTGAGTATGGGCGCTTTCCATTGGCATTGACATGCACGGCCAAACCGGTCAGAACGGTCAAGTTGTTGAATGGAACACAAAACGTTTGGGCTTCTGACCTATCTGACCAGAAAATCTAGATAGAATTAGAATGAGGTCCAAATTCGCTAGATATTTGAGAAACATAGAACAAGTCGTTCCATTGATACAGAGAAAAGAATTCGGGTGTGACCGGTCAGGCCATTAAATGGAAAGCGCCCTATGTGTACCCTCATCTGAACATTCATGATACATTTACTCGTTCACATCCATCAGAAGAAGAAAATCGCACTAGGAATCGCAGCAAAAATTGCAAGGTGTAA